AACTTGTAGGATTAAGCACGAAAAAGGTTGTTTATTCTACATTTTACTCTTTTTTTGGTTCATTGCGTTTTAAGTATGCTGTGAGAATCATTTGGAAACTAAACAACAAAAATCTCTTAATTATGAAATTCATTATGAAATGAAGATCTGAGGTGGAGTAATACCTATTGTACCTCTGCTAATGAACTTTAAGGTCAAGTGTATACGATTCAACTTGTCTGTCATTCTGTCCATGCTACATGTACCTTGTCTGAGCTAATTTTGAAACACTGGAGGCTCAAAAAAGGTAAATGTGTCAATTGTCTAAACTCGAAAATTTGTTGGGGATGGTGGTGGTGGGGGGGGGGGGGTAGGGGGGAGGCTATGATAGAACTTCCAGTGCCAGTATTTTTTTTCCAAACACTACCATTTAACCTTTTTTAAACTCAACTGCAACGTGTCGGTTGAAAAAGTGTTTGTTAGGGGGGGGGGGGTTTAACCTACGCCCCAATGTACAATGTCTATATTATGCCTATTTTTGCGGGAAAAAAATGGAAGCTAAGCCTCCCTACCCCAACCCTCTCCGGTTCCGACGAATATGGCATGTATAAAACGATAATAGTTTTACTAACTTTATCGTTTTTTATATATTCAAACACCCATGCAGAAATATTTTTTTACCACATATCATAAGCGGTTTGTGGTTAGGACATTCCTCCAAGTAACACTTATGTGCATTTCAATTCCTTTTAAACAAACAAATAGCAAAAAATAAAAAAGACGAAAGAAAAGAAAAAGAAATATTTTTTTGGAAAACTTGGTCGTATTAAAAAAGAAAGCCGAGCCATTCAATATATTTTGTCTTGTTATTTTTCATATCTCAATTACTATTTTTTTCTTCCGATGATTAAAAAAATTCATTATTTTAATTTCATTAATTACTTGTGCTTGGCTTTTTTGGTATAAAAGGGAATAAACCATCTCATATTCTTATGTTTTCATGTTTATTTTATTACGGAATAAATCACATTATCATCATTGAAATATATGTACTGTACCTACATGTACATTGTAGTATGAAGATAATTTAGAAAAAAATAAACCAAATACGTAACATTCTTCAACAGTGAATCATATACATATTTCCAATGGAATATAAACCATATTATCATGCCATTTCATAAATAATATTTAATTATGAAAACAATTTCTAATTATGAGGAATGGAAGCCGTGTTTGAGCCTTGACTTGTGAAATGTCGAACAAGTAATATCATTTAAAAAGAGAATTTAATTCCGTAAATATATAATTATCAATATTTGTTCTTTACTTTTATCGAATTCTGATATCAATAATTTATCAATTAATTAAAACATTGCTGTGATGTCATTCCTTTGTTCTTACAGTCTAAAAATTGACCTATGGCAGTCCGATATTAGTGAGCAGTCTGATATTAATCGTAATATCAGACTGTCGCATTACTGATATCCTTCAGAATCGGACTGCTACTGAACAAAAGAAATTAAAAATGTGATAATTTAACAAACAGCAATTTAAATTTCTCACATAGAATGATGATTTAGAAAAAATTGATCTTACATAATTGCAAAATAAAAAAAAAACTTTCAATTACACTGAATATACTGTAACAGAAAGAAGAATATGCGGCAGACCAGATAATGCAAATAAATAAATAATAACACACAATTACACAAATGGATAAACTTCTAATAAACATATCAAAATTGGAGAATTGTCTCAACCCCTTTCTCTGTTTTTTTTTTAAAGAAGGAGCGCACTGGGAGTCACCAGAGATTGGCACAAACACTTTCAAATCTTTAGACACTATTATAAAAAAAAACATTCCAACATATTTGATTTCATTTTTCTCATAGAAAGAAAAATGCCTCTGCAAAATCTAGGTTGTGCGATTATATGATAATTCATACTTATTTTGACAGCTTTGCAACAAATTTTGAAAGAAATTTGAAGTTTCTCAAAATTGTCTCAAACATTATTGATTATATTTGTTTTTCAAAAACCAAGATATTTGTAGATTCTTAACATAAAAAATGAAATGGACTAATGTACCTTCTGCATCCGCTTAACTTTCTGTGAGAATCTTCATTTCTGCATATTCCATTCCATTTCAAAATTAATGAAAACATATTTTGTTCCCACTACCCTTATCAAATTCTTTCTAATACCTTCTTCAGTGTAGCCAAAATCCCTAAATACTGAGTACTTTTCATTTAAGCCTACTTTCTTGATTTCAAGAATTGCTTCAGCGGTCATTAACACCTTTGTCTTTTGTTCTAATATCGGACTGTCTCAGGTAAATCAAAAGCAATGTTTTAAGTACGATATATGCCTCATACAATTCTGTATTAAAAAATATCAGACAGGTTTCGGCCCTAACGGGCCTCAAACTGTCTGATATTTTTTAATACAGAACTGTATTCGGAATATATATCCAATACTTAACTCTTTAACATTGTGTTTCTTAAAATGTTAGTCTTTCGTAATTCCGGTCTTAAATTGTTTATCTCATTACCATGCTCTTAACCTGTTTATAATACCGGGTTTGCAATCATTCAAGCGAGAGATTCACACCTGGCATGCACAAAATAAACAAAGGGAATTGAGTTGTAGATAACCGATTTGTATACATAAGATAAACAAAGCCTTATAATGCGACCAAAGTCATATGTATCAGAAAGAGTATGTCAGACTATTTATTCATTTATTTTTTTAAATTGCTGTACAAAACGGGCATGACACCAAAAGAACATTGCAGTGACGCATGAAAATTGAAGGTCGCTGCGTCATGCTTAAACCTCAAGAAAAAAAACCACTACTTCCATGGCTCAATGTGGAATGAAATCTGGTCAGATACCGCGATTCAAAGATTGAACTCATGGCCGGAACCTATATTACAGTAAAATCCTAAACCAATAATATGATTTTAAGGTTCTGATCGGAACGCGAAATACCCGGAACAAATATTATGCGACAATGGCACTGTAGTTTTGTGTCCGCGGCGTTGATAGCATCATTTTGATTGGCTTTCCTGAAGGCGATTTTTAAGGAATCAATGACATTGACCTATGAGAGGAATGCTAACAGTTTGAAGATCAACATGGTTAATGTTACATCTCAATGCAATGTGCAGAAGTTTATGCATTTCCGTTTCAGAGGAATGAAGTCAATTTTACTACGGTAAGTAACCGAAATATTTTAATGCAACATACACTATGAGAAAGTTGAGAAAATTTCCTATCTGAAGATTATTGTTCTGTATTTATTTCGGAAAGCAATTCACCCGGATTTCCAATCAAAAGTCGTCAACCCGACGCAACTTTTGAACAGTTTCCATGTACCTTTACATTCATGTACACTTTTGTATCGTAAAACCACAAAAGAAAATAGAAATGAGACATTAAATAATATAAGGATTGACTTATTGGAAAAAAAAAATCTATAAAAAAATTCCTACAATGTACTACACATAAACAGGGACCTATAAACGGCCCCTGATATTTATAAATGTACAAATTTAATTCTGTTGCCAGGATTTCCTTTAGATTCTGAAATACATGTTATGTACTGTATAATAACAGAATAATCCGAAGTTCTTCTAACTAGGTCCTATTAAAATATTTTTGTTATTAACATGATACTTTGTGGTTAATTTTTTTAAGTGAATATAAACAGTCAGACTTCGGTAAAATGCGTGAATCATTCCATATCATGTTTATGGAACCCGCCGGTAGTAGCAGATGTCATTCAACTTATCCAGGAAGCTTGGATAACTTAGACTGAATATATACAATTATTGATTGATACCGAAAATTTGATATCATGTTTTTTAAAGATAGATCTACTAGTATTAAAATTTTAAATAAAGTTGTGAATTAACTATAGTGGATTCTTTTTTCCAGATCTTTGCCCTTTTCATATTAATATTGACAGCCTTCTTCTTTGTGATGTCCAGACAAAACTCTGACTTTTAATGAGCACATTCGATTAAGATCACTACTTGTATACATATTTTAAAGTAATAAATTGTAAAGAATATATAAAATATCATTATTTTTTCCTAACTTAGATTTTGAAAGCATTTTATTAGAAAGACTGTATCGGCCATTTTCAATATAGGTGGCCATATTGGATATTTTGCTCCCATCTTGAATATTTTTTACCTGGCATGGAAACAGAAAATTAGGGCTTGAATAGACCTTTCCGAAAATATATAGTTTGCCATAATTCCAAATAAAATTAATCTAGTTATTTGAAAAACTACCTAGATTTTGTGGTTTTACGATACAAAAGTGTGCATGAATTTAAAGGTACATGGAAACTGTTCAAATGTTGCGTCCGGTGACGACTTTTGATTGTAAATCCGGTTGAATTATTTTCCGAAATTATTACAGAACCATGATATTCAGATAGGGAATTTTCTCAGCTTTTAATAGTGTATGTTGCATAAAAATATTTCGATTAGTTATCGTAGTGAAATTGACTTCTTTCCTTTGAAACGAAAATGCATAAACTTCTGCACATTGCATTGAGATGCAACATTAACCATGTTGATCTTCAAAATGTAAGCTTTCCTGTGATAGGTCAATGTCGTTGATTCCTTAAAAATCGCCTCCCGGAAAGACAATCAAAATGACGCTATCAACGCCGCGGAGACAAAACTACAGTGCCATGCATCAAAGGGGAAACCCCGTATTCAATTTAAGCACAACTTCGACCGGGTTAATTTTTAATGCAAACTCTTCGGAATGAAATAACACACATATCATACGAAAGTTCAAACAATGTAGAAAAAAATTCATTATATTTAATATCTAGATAAATATGAATAATAATGCAAAAATTACGTTTATGAACATTGATAAATTGTGTTTAAATGGCACAATTACATAGGTAAGTCGGGTTACCTGAACCCCCTACTCGGGAACAAAAATTGCGGACGCATTCCATTTACCAATCGTGTTCAGCTCTAAGTTATTTACCTTGTACTTCCCAATCTTATTCTCCCAGTGGGTAGCTACAATAAGGACCAGAGGACTCTTGTCTCCTTCTTTCTCGATGCCACAATACGTATGTATGGACTTAATCCAGAATACAAAATAGTCTGAAAATAAATTGATGGTTGATGGTGCAGACAGTTATCATGACTAGAAATAACGACCATTAAGCTTGCATTTAAAAATATTTTAACTTTTGGATCACTGTTTAATTGAAAAGTTACTACATATCAAGAAATGTCTTAATTTTATTTTACCCGATTGTTGTCCGAGCGATCTTATGATGAACATTTTGAAAAATTTTATTCTAAATATTGCAATACAGTATAAATTCCCTCTACCATGGAATTACCATACCTTTCATCCTTGATAAACTGTTACGGACTTTGATAAGAATTTAACACAAAATATATTTTTTTAAAAATTCAACTTCTAGTTTTATTTTTCTCCATCTAATATCATGCTGCCTAACTTTAAATTTGCACACATATCTTTCACAAGGTAGAATTTGAGCGGCATTCGGTGAAATTCTGACCTCTCGTCTTGAGAAGAGGATTTTTAAGTATGCCACCAAATTTCACTATTCCTTAATTATCCCTTTAACAAGGATAGGACCCTTTATTTGAACAAACGTGAATTCCCTTCACGCAAGTGCAGAGGTTCTGGAGAAGAAGTCGAAAATGTAAAAAAAAAAAAAAAAAAAAAAAAAAAAACAAGAGGCCCAGGGGCCACAGCACCCACCTGAGCACATCAGCTAGTAAAAAAAACATATCAGATCAGAAATGAAAGGTTACTGAGGTTGGGGTGGGGGTGGGGGGGAGGTTGAATTTTAACACCCCAGGGGATCATGATTTGAACGAAATAACTAGAATCTACACTACCTGAGGATGGTTCCATATAAATGTTACTAATCATGGCTTTGAAGTACTTGAAAAGAAGAATTTTAAAGGTTTGCCTATATATTCTTATTTAAAACTTTGATCGGCCATACTAGCCCCACCCTACCCCAAGGTCATGATTTGAACAAACTTGAATCTCAACTACCTGAGTACGATTTCACTTGAGTTTCATCTTTCCTGGCTCCTTGGTTCTTGAGAAGAAGATTTCTAAAGATTTTTCCTATATATTCCAATGTAAAATTTTGATTGTCCATTTTGGCCCCACCCTACCCCTGAGGGTCATGATTTGATCAAACTTGAATCTACACTACCTGAGGATGAACCCACACGAGTTTCATCTTTCCTGTTCCTGTGGATCTTCAGAAGAAAATTCCTAATGATTTGAACAAACCTGAATCTATATTACCTAAGGATGATTCCATATGAGTTTCATCTTTCCTGGTCCAGTGGTTTTTGAAGATTTTTTCAAATTGGGAATAATTTTTCTCTAATTCATAATTATCTCCCCTTGAAAAAGGGCGTGACCCTTTAATTGAAACAATTGAATCACATTTACCCAAGGATACTTTGTAGCAAGTTTGGTTGAAATTGGCCCAGTGGTTCTTGAGAAGAAGATGAAAATGTGAAAAGTTTACAGCGACAACAACAACGACGACAGCGATAACTCGACAGACAGCGGACAAATTTTGATCAGAAAAGTTTACTTGAGCCTTCGGCTCAGGTGACCTAAAAAGTTTACAGACGGACGGACAGACGGCTAGACAGGCATGGGAGAAGGACTAAAGACAAATTGCGATCAGAACATCTTTCAGCTTTCAGTTCAGTTGAGCTATAAAGTGAAAGAAAAATGGATAAGAGAATTTAAAAAGTTAGTGTTTAAGATACGCCATCTGTTCGAAAAAATAGAAATGATAATGAACACAAGAAATACTACAATACATCTGATTTTATAAGACATCTAAAAATATTAATTATCAATCTGGGCGAAAAATTTCTATAAAATTCAACAAGAGGCCCAGAGGCCACAGCGCTCAAATGAGTAATTGGCTAGGAAAATGCACTTATCAGATCAGAACTGAAAGTTTAATGAAAAGGGAGGGGGGCTTGAATTTTACCCCCCTCCCCCAGGGGGTCATGATTTGAACAAACTAGAATCTACACTACCTGATGATAATTACCTATAAATATCACTAAACATAGCTTTGAAGTACTTAAACAGAAGATTTTTAAAGGTTTACCTATGTATTCTTGTGAGACTTTTTGGTCGGCCATTTTGGCCCCACCCTACCCCTTGGGGTCATGATTTGAAGAAATTTGAATCTGCACTATCTGAAGATAATTCCACATGAGTTTCATATTTTCTGGGCCAGTGGTTCATGAGAAGAAGATTTTTGAAGATTTTTTTTCCAATATACCTATGTAAAACTTTGATCAGCCATTTTGGCCCCACCTAACCCCCCGGGGTCATGACTTAAACAAATTTGAATCTACACTACCTGAGGATGATTACACATGAGTTTCATTTTTCCTGGCCCAGTGGTTCTTGAGAAGAAGATTTTTTTTAAATGCCATTAATAATCTCTAATTCATAATAAAATCCCCTTGAAAAAGTGCGTGACCCTTTATTTCAACAAACTTGAATACGCTTTACCCAAGGATACTTTGTAGCAAGTTTGGTTGAAATTGGCCCAGTGAGACGAAGATGAAAATGTGAAAAAGTTTACATCAACGACGACAACGACGGCTACAGACAACGGACATATATTGATCAGAAAAACTCACTTGAGCCTTTGGCTCAGGTGAGCTAAAACCTGCCTCAGATGGACAGGCATGTCCTCAATGATACTTAAGTTTAAAAGGCTAGAAAGTCCGAAAATGAGAAAATAATGAATTGATTGATTGATTGATTGATCATTGTATATTGTTTAACGTCCTTCTCGAGAATATTTCACTCATATTGAGACCCCACCACTTGCCAGTGGGGGGCTACATATTTTGTCCTAAGCTTGGCACTCAAGGCCTTTGAGCAGTGAGGGATCTTTATCGTGCCAGCACCTACTGCGACACGGTGCCTCGGTTTATACGGTCTCATCCGAAGGACCGGTCTCCACGACCCGCAGTGGGATTCGGACCCGCGACGTAAGGATTGACTCCTTACTTCGCGACTCTAGAGCAGACGCTCTAACGATGCTGCACTGCGCCATGCGGGTGACAACAATAAATTGAAAATGATGATTATATTTTTTTTAAAGATCTCTAGATGAACAACCTGAAGCATTTGTTTTCTATTGGACAAAGTTTTCAAAAACTGATTTTCATAAATGTTTCTTCATTGATTTAAGTACCAATCCTTCATTTTTTTCACACTTGTTCACTTTCATTTCGTCTTGGTGATATACCTTATTTTGATATATTTTGAGATATACTGAGAAATCTTGAATCGGGCTAGTAATGAGTGTTTAAGGACAGATGATACAAACAAAAAATGGTTGCCTGGATTGGTATATATTTTCTGGTCTTATTTCATTGAAAATGATTTAAAAAATAAATTTCTAGTATATAAAGAAATTGTAAACCTCCTATGATGTTCAAAATTCTACCTCTCTGAAACCATCCTTTTTAATCTATAAAAATACTTTTCTCTTCAAATCCAATTTTTGTGAGAATTTGAATAAAAATACAAAAACTACGCGGTTAAACTTATTCATTTAACTCATTAAAACATGACTCAAGTTGTTATTTTCAAATTTTTGGACAAAAATTTGTTTGTATCATCTGTCCTTAAGGACTTTAAATATGATACTATGAGAATTATTCAATATAAAATGAAAATTGACCTCAAGATATTAAAATAAATAAGAAAAAATGAAAACGATTTCTATTGAAATTGGGTACAAACTAGTAAAAAAAGCATTAATGTTAGATAACCATATCTCAAACAATGGCAAGTAAATAATTACAATTCATTCGAGTTTCGCTAGCAAGGTCAACGGTCAAAAACTTAGATTTACCGTCTACGCGTTAGCGTAATCAGTAAAACGGATATTTGCAATCGGTAAATCAGCATTAAATGATGAGCATTGATGAAATCATCAAATACGACATTAGAACATAGTTATTCCTATTCAAATGCAATCTATGCATTTTGTTTGTTGTTTACGTCATTTCTTAAATATTTATCTGGAATACATCATGGAGCTTTGTGTTTTTGCGTCGCTCTATGATGACTTCACAATGAAAAGCTTTCTATCTCGTTAATGCTCCTTTTACTGCTTCAAACAACTGTGCATATTAGCCAATCAAAATGTGTTTTACAAAACAATTGCATTATAGAATTCATATTAAGATACCTCCATATGTCCATCCACTGAATATACTGCCCTCTTGATCACATACATCTTTATCAACCTGTTGGTCCAGACATTTAGAAGCGTCTACTACCACGATGTAGAAAGCTCTCCTGGTCAGGTAAATCTGATGACAGGCGTAGTACGCACACTGTCCTCCAAAGTCGTAGAAGGTTAACTTCTTTATGATTTCTTTTATGGTATGAACGCCGTCTATAGCACTACTTTTTTTCTTATCTAGTCCTATAAAATAAATTTTATTTTACATGTATGTACGTTTACTTGATTTCACAATAACATTACTTTGTTAAGTATTATCTATAATTAGTCTAGACATGAAAAGAGTAAGGATAGTAAAACATTACTGGTTTGAATCATATAATTGATATAGAATATCTACTTAAACTTTTTAGGGCTATATTAGTACATGTATACCATAGGCGTAGGAATCAGGGGGGGGGGGGGGGGGTACCCCCCAATTGTTTTGCAAATATATTCGTAATATAGGCATTTGGGGTAAACCTGTTGTAATGAGGGTTTTTTTTTTGATTTTGTGTTAGTCCGGAAGTAAACAAAACACTGTAGAATCAATTAAACAAAAATAAATTTATTTTACAAATGAAACAAATGGATAAACAAAAAAAAAAAAAAACACCACAAAAACCTTGCAAACACCAAACTCGCAAACTCTCACATAGAGAAATAAAAAAAATTAACTTTTGAAAAAAATATTTGACACGACCTCGACCACGACCACCAACACGACCACGAACATGAACTTATATTGCGTGCCAGGAACAAATATTAAACAAAACTTGTTCAATAAAAACAGTAACTTTTGTATTAATCATAGATCAATTCCAAATTGTTTTAGAAAAGCTTTAAAAAGAATTTATACTTTTAATTACTCTTCACAGTAATGTAACTTTAGACATGTTTTCTGCATAAACCAAATTGGGAGTTTGTTTCACCACTGTTTACTTATTCAACAATACCATCATCACCACTGGGCCTCAATACACCGCTGGGTCGACATCACGTTCACTGACCGTCTAGACCGCCGGACTAAAACAACCTCGAATGTTTTAACTTCACCAGATGTTAAAAATATATACATCTTCCTGTTTATTCAAATATAGGATTGACAGAGATAGAAGTTCCTTCTATGGTATATTTCAGGTAATATCATTAAATTGAATAAAGCTGAACTCCATATTCCAAAGATTAGAGGTCTCCATGCATTTATTTCAAAGATCGTGAAAAAGGGGGAGATGTAATGGCGTGTTCCTAGTACATTCGAGGTTGTTTTTCCGCTAGTCGCAAGGCCCGAGAAGTTGCAATTGCGCTTTCCTTCTGACTAACCAGTTTTATAAATTTAGCTTATATACACACCCTCAAAAGTACGGAAACACATAACCACCAAAACTCACAATGAAAACCCGAATCAAACATAATATGAACTAAAAAAGTCAACTTTATCACACCTTTATTTATTGGTTTAGCCCCCCCTTTTTTTTCAATTACAGCCCCACTTTAAATTTGTTTCCAATGCCTTTGTTCTGATAATCAGATACTTATGTCAATGTTCGTGCTTGTTATCTTGCATTACCTTTGTTTACATTTTATTGCAGTTGCGTGTATCTGTGTTTGAACATGAATGCTGCACTGACCTGTAACGTTAACGTCACAGTACCCATTATTGCCGGGAAATATCACATTTTTCTTTGTCATGTTGAAAATATAAGTTTATTTAAAATAATTTCTATATGTGCTGACTGCTAGTGAAAGTTGTCAGCCCTTCTAAAAATGCACTAGCCCCCCCCCCCCCCCCCCAAAAAAAAAATTGTCTTTTATAATTTGGTATTAGCAATAATGTGAATGGGGAGAGCTCACCATACATTCGATCTCAGACATGTATAGACTGATGAATTATACCAGTTTGCTTGTTACACTTTGCAATCAGAAATATTAGTTGATTTGAGATGGTGTCATCAAATATTTGAGTTTTTAATTCAATGGAAAAATTTTGCACGTTCCGCCGGGCAACAATACGTCCAATATGCCCATGACAAAATCTATGTGTCTCGGGTGGTCGGGTGCACAGTTATTTCAAACACTGTTTCTAGCAATAAAACTTGGAATTTTTATAACTCTAATCATTAATGAAATAAAAATAACTTGTTTGTTTATTTATTTTGGATTACTGTTCTATATCCCAAATCTGTTTTGTTTTGTTTTTTAGGCACATATCAAGCACTTGTTCTCACTTTGCCTTACCAATGACCAAATAAATGGTTGACTGCAGTGTCTGAAGATTTTATAAGGAGTTGAATGTCATGCAGACCTCTGCCTATGGCTGCTCAACTAAAGCGTGACAGTATTATGTGAAGAATTTAAAAAAAATTATATAGGAGCATGTAAAGAAAAGTTTTAACTGTAAATAGAAGTAACTTTTCTCTTTTTTCATCTAGATTAAGAAATGTTTCCATAAATAAAGTTAAGAATTAATATACATTGAGTAGTCAAAAAGTTGCAAATGTAAACTGTGCTTCTAAAAGTTTAAGGCTATGTGATTGAAATCATTTGCTTCTAAAATTGTGAAAAGTATGTGTCCATTGTATATAAAATTAAGGCAGTCATTTCCAATAATTATTTAAGGAATAACTGTGAAGTTACTAGAGTATGGGCATCAACGATAGTTGGAAATGTGGGATAATTTGCATAACAAGTGAAGGTAATTAACTAGACAGTGATTCCTTATATAGGCCTTTCAATTATATTCATGTATTAAATAGATATGAGTTGGATTTGAATATTTTCTGTTACACACATGTATGTTGATGTAGCTTGTAAATGAAACACTTCTAGCATGTGTTTGTTTCCTTGTCTTTTCTGTTAGTACTAAAGAAAAAAAATGTTTGTGAACTATAATTACATTCCACTTAAATTAAGCTCAGTAAGTAGGATTTTTATATCTATCATAAGCCAAAAAAAATTTAAATACATGTATTTCTAATTCTTCTGCATTCTACACAGGGAATCTTCAGTTGAACATGTATTCCACCTTCTTTAATATTAAATTAAAAAAAACAACATTAATTCCATTGAGAAAAATTGCAATGCAAATCTATTTTTTTCCCCTATGCCTTCCAATTTCTTTTTAAAATCTAAATTAATATATCACCTACACAATATATTTGGCATTGCATGTTTATTTTTAATTTATTTTAGTTAACAATTTATTTCCCCCTTCAGAAGCAGACTGTTAGATAAAAATTGCATTGTTTACATCTGATTTCCAGGTATTGAAAATTTTACAAACTGTTAACAATATTTTGACTTCGCTTAGCCTAATTTGAAGGTACTCTCTAAACCATTGGGATGGGTGTTATCTTGTTACCTTCTTTTTCACAAGTCGCAAGATAAACAAATAAAACAGCTTAATTCAAAGCATTTATTTGAAGCGATATGAGCAAGAAAAAATCGAAAAAACAACCCATTGTAGATTTATTTAGAACAGGTGCGTGTGGTGGATGTTGATCCGCTCCCGATTAAAAGAGAAATGGCGTCGTACAGCAGACGCTTCGTACTCGTCGCAATTTTCGTGAAATACTGCAAGCAGAAATATTATTTTGGATAATTTTAGTTTAGTATCATTGCATTCAGGAAAATATTCATTTGATTTTCACCAAAACATGACTGATTCTGTCAGTAAAGTGGAAATTTAGTCGAAGTTTCTGTGGTATGTCCTATCGCACGACTGCTATTTTCTGCATTTTCAAAGACTTGAAATATCATCGGTAAGTTTATTAATTCTAAACAACTATTTCTTTCTCGGAGACGATTGGTGGTTTGAAAAAAATGTGTAATTTAATATTTATGTTTCTTGCGAAAAAATTACAAATAACTACCGTGTGACAGATTTTTAAACGTAAAAACGTAAATCGGCAATAAATGGGTACTCGACAATAATGGGTACTCGCACGTTACAACTATAATTGTAAGTATCTTTTGTATGTTACTTTCCTGCACAATTAGTCGAAATATCATGTTATTATTGTCACTACTGAGTGCTGTATAGAACACGTCTGTCTGCACTGGTGTCAGCTAATTACACTCAACAGCGACTAAGTCCTGCCCTTAATACTGGTATAGGGTTCTTCAAATATAGCGAGAGTACGAACAAAAATTGCGGACAAAAACTTTCACGAATCAAGTTCATCTCTAACCTTGTATTGTTATTGATTGATTGATTAAATAATTTATGTCGTATTAAGATTCTCTTACTTATACATGTACAGAGATGTCAGTATAAACCGGTGAATGACCTCAAATTTAGAATTTACTCGGCACGCCAATGTCGCATTTTGGACCCGCGACTTTCACTACAAAGTGTCGAGCACTTGCTGAACAACTAGTTGCTATCTATTTTGAAGACTTAAATCAGTCCAGATTTAAACATACAACCTTTCATTTACAAAACATTCTACAGGCTAAGCTACTGGTTTGTACTATGTAGAAATAAAAGAAATACCCAGAAGTGAAAAGCCTTTTCTAAACTGAATTTAAAGTTGTAATATTTTAATAAAAATTTTCTATGACTTCATTTACCTTACAGTCAGGGATGGGGTCGATTACTTTCAAAAGTAATCGATTAAATTACAGTTACTTTGGATTTTAAAAGTAATCGATTACAAGCTGATTATAGGCATTTTTTAAAGTAATCAATTACATCTGATTACTTTTCCTTCATGTAATCATGATTACTTATGATTACTTTAGATTACATTGTTTAATATTCAAGGACAACGGCATGTTTTTATTCATCTTTCTTTAAATATCATTAATATTTAATTTTTAAGGTAGAATTCAGACAAAGTTTGATTGTATATGTCTTTATTTAGATACATGAGATTTATTTTATATCACCTGATTTCTATCTTTAATACAAGTAAATTTAAAATATCTTGTTACTTTTGAAAGAAATAGAAAAAAAGAATTTATTATAGTTTTTTTTAATAAATCAAACTGGACATAATTATAGGTAGGGATAAAGGGATTCAATAGGGAGCTGCTACACAAGTAATTGACCTTCTCGAGGAGTGATAGACTTTTCAATTAAACTGCCAATTATTAGATGTTTTTACAAGAATTAACACATTGAATGGACAAACATAGAGAGTTCAATAATTACTATTACCCAAGCTGACACAACTTTAGTATATCTGTGTCTTATGACTAATTAATTCCCATTATCTTTTCATGTACACTGTAAATCAAACAAAGGGAATTTTAGAATATGTCTCAATAAAGGAACATTTGCTATTTAAAAAAAAATACAATTTTTTTTCAAAGATTTACAGGGAAAAAAAATTGTTGCATTACACACATGTTCATTAAATTTGAAACAAAATAAATCAAACTTTAAAATGATCCTGTAGTAATTTTCAAGCAGTATATACATATATCTTGTCAAAAATAGCGAATTCCTAAGCTGCTAAAGTATTTCGAAATGAATACTGAATATAGCAAGGAACTGATAGAATTTACTCATTGCCAGGACAATGGACCTGATTATAAGCATTTCTGGAGACATTAGAAGAAGATAATTAGATATAGCTTATAATTGTATAACTTTTTTCAATAAACAATTTTATACACTGAAAAATATTAACTGAAAATCATCAAAAAATCATGATTTTATGGACTTTGTTTTCAAAATTGTAATCATAAAGTAATCGAAAAGTAATCATGATTACAGGACTTTTTTCACAGTAATCGATTAAATTACGATTACTTGTAATCAGAAAAATGGGTGATTACTGATTACTCATGATTACTTGGCAAACTGTAATCGATTACAGCTGATTACGATTACTGATTACGATTACCCCATCCCTGCTTACAGTATATTCAAATCTGTATTTAATTGAGTTTTGACACTTTCAATATATAAGTCATTTGATAGATTAATAATAAACGAAAAAAAAAACGTACTGCATGACATTCAAGCATTTTATACATAACGATGTAATACTTGTGGATTTCTTACCCGCATACAATTGTACTTACCAATTAGAGACTTTGCTTTTTTTCAGCTTGCCCACTTGTACTTGGGAAAAGCACTATTTTTGTGTCTATATTTCAATATACAGCATTGTTTTCTTATTTTGTAGCCCCGTTCTACCGGAGGTAATGATTTGACCAAATTAGAATAACATTATCCAAGAAATCTTTCCCAGAAATTTTAGAATTTCTAGCCAAGTGGTGTTAGAAATGAATGTATTTTAGTCTTTTTTATCATTTTTGTAAAGGGGCTTGATCCTTTATCTTATTATGATGGTTTGAACCCCACCTTATCTAAAGAGGCTTTGTATAAAGATTGGATAAAATTGGAAACGGTGCTTTTTGGGAAGAAGTTTAAAACAAAAAAGTTTACAAAAGGATATAGGGTCAGCTAAACAAATAGACAACTGGTGATCAGCTTAGGTGAGATAAAATCAAACCTAGCAATGATAAACATTTTTCAAGATAATTGAAATGGAAATTTTATATAGAACTAACTGTTTTGTTTCAAACAAATTTTGTAGAGACATTATAAATATATGAATTTATTTAAACATTTAGGCAAGCACAAGTAAACTCAGTTTGGTAGTTTAACGATTGCCAATTCTTTGTTCTATAATCGCCTTTTCTTGTCGCAGGATCACAAAAAAATCAATAATAACTTCTATACTTCTGCAATTCGGGTCATTTATTTTAGAATAGTTGTTCAGTTTTATTGATATGTCTTATAAGAATCCAACAATTTTTTTGAAATGTGAAATTCGATATCTTAATATTTATTATTTACCTTTGAGTCTCTTTGTGTCATCGTCAATCTTAAAAATTTCCTCATGCACCTCCAATCCCTTAGTAGATTTAACTTTTTTAATCTCTTTTTCACTACAACCAAGTAGACGTTTAAGTAGCGTGGTTTTCCCCGCCCCAGCACATCCTACAATCATCCCCCGGGCGTGGTGGACTGTCTGTGTTCCTCTCTTACCGTACTCCACATACCGCTCTCTGGCCTCTTGGTCCCACTCTAGTATTTCTGGAGGAATCTTCACTATCAATTGATAAATAAAACCAGTATTTTAATCATTTAAAATTACCTAACAAAAGAATAATGAAAAAGAAAAAAGACCATATTTTGACGGCTGTACATTTTTGATATGCAGAAAGAATCGAACGTTTATCTATCTATTATGGTATTGAAAGGTACGATGTAATACATGAACAGAATTTTATCTACTTTCAAGGCAATGTTTTAGATTTAAATACGCATGCTCATATGCATGTTTGTTTTCAAACGAATATCAAACAATTGAGTCTGTAAAAAGATATTTAAATCAACAATATTATTGTCTGTGAATTTTAACGTTCTTCACATACATGTACCTATGAAAATTATTGATCATAGTATATCGACTTAGTTTAAACTTCATTAAAATATGGAAATTCAACAACTTTACAGTTGATTTTTTTCTGAACCATAAATCTTCGATTCGGCGTTACTGTTTATTAAAATGATCAACGACAAATGAATGACAAATAGAGGAATGAAAGTAAAAATTTTAAGAACATTTTATCAATATAATAATAATACTTAAGGTAAAAGGTAGACAAACAAACTTAATATCATACATGTAAGTTTTGAGAAATTAAAATGCATGTCCTCGTAAGATAATATTACTGTTAGTATTCTTAAATGCAGTAGTCATGTATAAATTGATCTTAACGTGGATGTGCATAATTATAATGGTGTATCTGTACATACGTATGTGACATATATTCAAATACCTTGGTTATAGTATTATTACATGATATCAGTAAAGACAATATGTGCAGCTGTATCAATATACTCACATTGATTTCTGATCTTTTCACGAATTTCTCTGTCTGATATATAGCAGTATTTGATGATGTCAAGTTGTAGTCTCTTTATAAAGGGATCCAACATCTCCGGATTCTTTGGTACATACAGACATCTCTCTCCCTCACTTTTCTCATAATTCCAGGACCGACAGTATTCTGTAATCACGTGACCCGATGCTGTGTTTAGGAAAAACTCCAGATCACTGTCCACCACCAGACATTCCGTAACAAAGGCGTACATGACGTCATGCCGGATGTCGTCTGATTTAAAGGTAATTTTATTGTCTTTTACTTGCATGATTCCTTCAGGGAGATCTGCTGTACTTATTTCATTTGTAATTTCTTCCTCTTTAAAGTATCTAACCCTGAGCTTGAAAAGCATGTTCTTGTAGGAATCTTCCCTGGTATTCAAGGTATATCCATCAACCAACAATGTACAGTACAACAGACTTCTGACTTCCGGTGTGTATTTGTGATATTTACCTGTAATTATTAAGAAAATGTACATTATGCATATTTCCTTGTCATTTCTCTTAAAAGAATCCGCAATTTATCCTTATTCCTTGATTTTAATTTCCTGTAATCATTTGAAAAGTATCATATAACTTCTTATTTTATGATAATATTATATAACTTTGTGAAATCCGGTTATCTGATTAGTCAATACGAAATTATGATACATAATTATATTTTAATAACGACCGCTGAAAGCGAATAATGCCTCGTTTTCACTTTTGCTTTAGTCAAACATGGCAGATCGCAAGTTTGCAAGTCTTTAGCGAGGAAAATTTAAAAGATATAATGAAGAACTCTGAAGGTGAGAATACAAAACAATTAACAAAGATATCTGTTTAGCATTTTCCAGGAGTACTTAGCATATAGCATTTTTTGGTCGACTTTTCCAATCGGCGGGTAGAATTTTGATGCTGTTTACGTTATTACGGAGACAAAAGTAAATAAAAACAAGCATGCCATGTACGATTCTATAGAAAATTATGGTAGAAGACATAGATGTAAATACATGTATTTTGTCAGTGCATTTTTTTGCAAGTGTAAATAAGTGCGATTCTAAATCTTGGGCAGGAGGTCCTCTGTTTCCTCTGTAAAATCAATATATCTAGAGATAGATACATTGCGTTGTTATTATGCTATGGGATGAAATTTATTACCAAAACAATTTCCCCTGAGAAACATTCAATACATTCTGAAACGTTTATACTCAACTTATTCATAATAAACACCATCTCTCTAATCATTAGGAAGATATACAATGTACTAATAAATTTGGAAAATTATTATTTATACATATGTATAATATAATAAATATGGATTCATATGGATTCATTGGTCGATATACTCCATGTAACTTCGTTCAATATCTGTCATCCTGGGTCATTATAAATGCACATTGACCTACATTGAGTCCATATCTATATATTTATTTCAGTGACGTAGTAAATATTCAAAGTGGGCAGCCAGAGAAAAAAACATACCTTAAAAAACTTCACAAGTAAAAAAAAAAGGAAACGTGTCGATACTTGAAAATCCTATATCGTAAATGGGGGGTGGGGGGTTGGTGGAGGTTCCTCTTCTTTCGAAGCATAACCTTTTTCACTACTTTTTCCGTCACTACCCTATAATGCAACAAAAGTAAGGGGGAGGGCGCAAACAGACTTTCAAGAATCATTTACTATAGTAAAAAGTTCTGTCTTGAAAAAAGGGCGAATGGAGAGTCCACGCTTTCGACCATTGGTACATTGTAAAACGCGCTTTATCCTCCTTTGATTGATGAAAAAAAAAATCGAAATATTAATATTAGTATGTCTTTTATTTTTTTTTTAATTCATTTTTTTTATTTCCCATGGGAATGTTCATATACACGTCATTTTAAAACAAAAACAATAAATCTGAAAGCAAGTTGTCATTGAGTTAAATGCCGACTGCCGTTTTCATACTAACTGCTAGTTCATTTCTTATACCTTGAATTGACTTAGGATTTTTACCGTTATTTCCCGATCATGACAAGGAAAAACGGCGGGTGTGACCTGTCGGCAAGGGATGTTCACTCCTCCATAGAATCTAATCCCACCTCTTATGTTTTTTTTTTAATATCCGTGTTTGCAATTAATGCTCCTATTTTGTATTATATTTATAGACTTTGATATTGAATACTGTTCGTAATCTCCATATACTTCATACTCTATGGGAAATAAATCTCGGTCTTTGCTTTTTAGATAAAGTCCAACACGTATGATAACATTCTTCGCACTTCAGATTTAATCAGTCAATAGTAATCAGAATCAGGATAAGATCAGATAAAACATTTACCCAATTGTATATTAATTCAATTTCAATTAAAATTTCAATTATAATGATTGAAAGGATCAATATTACAGTGTATATCAATTTAAGGGTTGAAAAAGAACGAAATAACAAAGAATAAAAGTTAACCGACTTTACTACATGTACAAATGTGATGGATTTTGAGACCTTCAAAATTCTCCCGTATGTAAAAAAAAATTATCGAGATTTAATCTAAACTTTAACCTCTCCCCTTTACCGCAAGAAAGAATGCTTCTTGCATTTTAACCCTCTGCTTTAAGGATACAAGGGATATTACAATGTACATTCGGTTTGCCTGTCGGTCTGTCCGTCCGGTGTAACGACGAAAAGTGACCCAGTAGAACTTTTCTACATAGAAATTTAACCCCCTGGTCAATTTTTTACGTAGAAAATTGACCTACTTTTGTGTAGAAATAGTGGCCTTTGTGTCGTTTTTCTCCGTGTGCATTGTAGAAAAATGACCCCTGTAGAATAATGGCTCCTTGTCATTTTTAATGCAAAAACAATTGTTGCTGGTAGGAAAATTTTTGTTAGGCAGGTGTATGGGGTTATATCAAGCTGCCTTATGCTTTGAAACGTTATTTCTGAAAGCTTTTAAGCTTAGATAACGAAATCAAAGCTATTCAATACCTTACATTAATAATAATTAAACTATAAAACAAATAAAAGGAAACAATCTTTAAATGTTCTAACTAAAGGCTATACGATCAAGGATACGCGCATTCATAGAAACGTTTATACGTTTTATACAGTAAGTTTCCACAGTTGTCATTTTAATTTAAAAAAAAAGGTTATTTTCTAGCTGGTGTCAAAAAAGTTTCAACAATTGACCATAAATCTCTTTGATTATACCCTAGATAAATAATTTGCAAAAATAAAAAAAATAAAGTTCTATTTTTTTCAAAAGTTTAACGTTTTTGGTCCCAACTTTTAAAACTGGCGCGAAAAGGGGCGCTAGCTTACAAAAAAAATATTTGGTTTTCTATAAATGAAGATTCAAACTTCTCATAAAAATAAGGACGATTTAAAGATATATATGTTGTACACTGGCACTTGTTTCTGTAATAAATCTTTGACCCATAGTATGATAATAACACAAGGTATCTTACTCCGATTTACACCGAGTACCCCCTCCCTTAGAATCGAGCTCATTTACACTTTCAGGGGAAATGCAAGTGTAAACTGTTTATATCTATGTCTTCTACGATAATTTATCTCCACAATCATATCTGGCATGCTTGTCTTTATTTTCTTTTATCTCCGTAATCAGCGTCAAAACTCTGCTCGCCGAGTGGAAAGTGAAACTCAACCATAGAATCGTATACCATTCATTCATTCTTTCTTTATTTCCTCCCATTGGAGATTCATGAACATATAAGAACACATAGTGAAAGAACAAAAATATAACATCATATAAGTGCTTATTATTTACATTAATGCAAAATTAAATTTGAAAAAGAAGAAATTGTCTTATATGTTTGCAAAAAAATAAAGTTAATGCACAGGGGTTAGAAGTATCCATTTACAAGTATGTTATCTTTCTTTGATACACCGCAGCCACATCTCTTATAAAGCGAAAGTTAAGAATATGGAGTTCTGGTGCATCACGGTCGGAAAGTACGGGTGTTAGACATCTGGCACCGAGCAGAAACAAGTATAATTCGTTTCCATGGAGTCCTGAGAGTTCGGCGCCTAGTGAGATGTCGTAATCCTCAATCACAGTTTCCCACCAGGCGTCGCGAAACAGAGATGTTTCGGGGCAAACCGTAGTAATGTGCTCGAACACATTTGTGAAAGATTTTGCGCAGAGGCAGCATGTTTCCGGCAGTACATCTAAAAGGGTCCATAGCTTGACAATGAATTTACATAAAACAATTTCATGGATATTTTTTGGGATGATCCACAGATGCTCAGGTGGTTTGCTTGCGCAGAGAACGTTGAATCTAGCAAAGTCGGGGTCGACAAGCATTCGGTTGCGCCTAGAGGCAGAGTGAAAGGAGATGACAGAAGATTTCACTGAAGATTTCCACTGAGACTTGTTGGGGAAGAATCCACTTTCGAGATAACCAGTTAACACGTGGTATAAGTTGTATTTCAGGAGTATGGGAATTATGTCCTGAATAAACCCATAATGTTTAGTACTAGCGTTGAAGAGGTAGGAGAACAGGCGGATGATGAATATACGCTTGGTGAGGTAAGTTGTGTTGAGTTCACAGAGACGACCAAAGAATTGCAACTTCTTAATGTCAATCTCTGCTGTAATTGGAAGGAGACCTAGAAGGCTTTCGCACATGTCTGATCTTGTATGATGGGGCAGTCCCATAACATGTTTAACAACGAAATGTTGGAATGCGTTGAGTGTTCTTATGTCTTTTGTCCGAAGATCGCACCATAATTCACTTCCGTAGAGAACTGATGGTAAGACAATTTTTTTGTACATTTTGGCCACTGTTATGGGGTTGAGCTGTTCGGAAACTTTAAGAGCGAAATATGCTTGCCGTCCTTTCCTGCAAGCGTTTGATGTTCTTTCGCCAGGATCAAAGTTGGAGCTTAGAAGAATTCCAAGATGATTGTATGAGTTGGAAAATTCAATGCGTTCATTGCCAAGACGCAAGCTTAAAGTGTCAGCAGGATTTAAGCGCTTTTGGTGGAAGAGGAGAACGTTGGATTTTGCGGTGTTAAATGTAAATCGCCAGCGTATTGAGTATTGGAATATGTTATCCAGAACTCTTTGAAGCTCAAGAGGTGTGAGAGCAATGACACAGATGTCATCTGCTAGGGTTGGGTTTGAGCTTTGAACATTAAAGACTTCTATGTTCTTGCTAAGATTTTGAATTTCTGATAGTAAACCATCAATGAATACGAGATAAAGGAAAGTCGAAAGTACGCCTCCCTGTCGAACGCCTTGGGATACTCGAAACCACTTGGAGCTGGTCTGGTTTACTACAACGGAAAATTGTGTGTTGGAGTGACAGTCATTTATCAAAGACCACATTGTGCCCGATATCCCGAGTTCGTGAAGTTTGTACATGAGACCGTGCCTCCATACCGTATCGAAAGCTTTCTGTGTATCTAAAAAGGCAACATAAACAGAGCTGTTTTGTTCAATATTGTGATGGATAGTTTCTTGTAGATTGAAG